TCGAGCTTGACCTAGTCATGTCGAACCCGGCCCGTCCGCCCTCGACCCAATCCGATTTCTTAATTGGTTTGGAGATCAAGACTTATATTTCCCCTAAGTCTTGTGAGCGCCGCAAACCCTTTTCTCTTTCTCACGACAACAGACAAAAGAAAAATCTGCTCAAATCTCTCGTTCTCTCCTCTCGTAAGCCGCCTCAGTGCTCATCTCTTCTCTCTCACTGATATCCATCGCCACCACCATCTCCCTGAAACTCCGATCGGCGCCTCTGCTCAGGGGCCGTTGGCCCTCGCCGACCACCCTCAAGCTCTCTCTCCTCGTCGCGAACCAGCAAGTCCCCAGCCCCGACCGCCTTCGCTCACAGGAGCCCTCCGCCGCAGCAAACCAGCCACCGCTGAAGCCAACGACCTCTCTCCGAGCCAGAAACTCCGGCGAGCGACCACCGCCGCTCCCTCTCCACTTGCAGGCCTTCCTCCGTGAGCTCTCTCGTCGCGATTCCGGTGAGCCCTGTTCGCGCAGCACCTCCGCAGCGACCAGCAGATCCCGGTGACCTTCCTTTAGAGTCGATTGTAGCCTGAATTTTGAGCAGGCGTCCCAAACCGAGTAGTAGCATCCAGTTGACCCGTTTGTTTCGGGACAGCACCTCGTCGAGGGTGGCAGCGGTTTGAGTTCTCTTCTTTCCCGCATAGCAACGGCCGTGAATTCTCCAGTGAACAGCCGTCCAAAGCTTCGGCTAAGGAGCAACAGCCGGGAGATTCTCTTTCAGCGAGAAGGAACACAATCAGCCCTCGTCAGTCCCACGTCGACAACCTTCGAGCAGCAGCAGGTGCTAAATCCGAACAGCAACCCTTCGAGCTGTTCGTTCGAGCCGCATAGTGAACAGCTGCCGTTTCGAGCGGAGAGGAAACCGCTTCACACGAGCCGCGAGTCAAGCGCAAGCTGCCGAGCCCGACACGCGTGCTCCGGACCCCCGAAAAAGCCCTCTTTCGACTCGTTTTCGAGCGTCTTTCCCGAGAATGTTATCGACGGCTCGAACCTTAACTCCTTTCGGCTTATATGTTATGTGTTATAATACTATGCCTTGTGTTATTCATGCGTACATTTAAATGTCTTGTTTGATATATAAATGAATAACCTCATGTATATGTTTATGCGTTGATCTCGTCGATTTTGAGAAATTGAATGAGACCTCGTTAAATCGAGTTAAGTACTGTGGATATGGAACATTTGGAAGTTCTTGGCCTTATGGTTAAGGCCTCAGACAATTTCGAGTCTTGTCGAGTCATGCATGAATTTATGAACTCGTATAATTGCTGATTCGGTATTAAATTTGTAATAAATTGCATACTGATCCGTTTATTGTGAAATTTTGTGTGTAGGCTCCTATGATGAATATGTATGTAAAAATTTCAGATTAAAAATAATAACTGTAGCTATTTTAATTAATTGTGTTGATTTCTGGGCAGAATATTGTAAATTGCATATTAAATTGATTTGTACTCCAAATTGGCTGAAATTTGAGTACATTGTCTCTCTGGCATATTTACATGTTGTGTAAAATTTTCAAAAATTTTTGGACTTTGTTTGCTATGGTAGATAATTTATTTTAGTATTCTTCTAAAACTTGTTTTAATTATCATAATTTGATCCGTTGCGGTAAATTTCTGATTTTTGGTTGAAGTTCTTATTCAATGATGTTATGTGTGGAAAAATGCTCAGAATTTTTGGAGTTCATTTTTGTTCAGTTTTGTTGAAATTTCGAAATCAGCAGAATCTTGTTTTAATTTTCATAATTCGCATGTTTAATGTTTAAAGCTGGAATTTGTACATGTTGCTATTCACATGCTGAGGGTTCTTGTGTAAACATTTCAAAGGATAAATCGTTCATTATGTCAGTCTGTGGATTTGTGCTCGTTTTTGCTGAATACTTGTTTGAATTTTATAAAATCATGTGTCTTGAGTTAGGGGCTGAAATTTGGTGGTTTTACTGAGTCCAGTGAGTTCGATTTTATGTTGAAATTTCAGAGCCTAACTCATTCGACAACCTGACCAACCTGACTGTGTGATTTATTGACTAGTATTTCAAAAATATAATTTTTGTGTTAAAAACTGTAAACCAGCTCGCGTGCTGTTTCTTGTTTATTTGACTTGGTCAAACCTTAGTTGGATTTATGTGAACTTCCATATGTGTTTGGTTGAGTATAAGTGCCGAGTCTAAGTGTTCCAATGTCCACAGGACTTCACGAACAACTTAGTCGAATCAAGTACGACTAAGTCTGATTTGTGTTCTCTGTTTAAAGTCAAGATAAGTGTTGATTGTAGTATCTTGACTTCATGTAGGTGTTTGAGGAGTCAAGCCTCGACCTACGTCCATTGTTTGTTGAGTCATTTCAATCCGGAAATCCAGGTAGGTTAGTTATTCTAAAATATCTATGCATATGTGTTTTATATGTGTTAAACCGGTATGATCTATGTATGCATGTGAGCATGTAGCCTATCGATGTGAGCTTGATGGCCATCGGTACGGTTTTCCATGTTGATGTAATACGGTTACCCTTACGAGGTAAATCTCTTTAAGACCTATGAGAAGGCCGTGTCATTGATGTGGCACGCACTCCCATGTCATTGATGTGACATGGCTAAGCTTAGATGTGCACATGAGTGCGCCATTGATGTGGCTAGAGTCATTGATGGGACTGGAGATGAGATATGATGTTATTATTGTTTATGTTCATGCTGTGACCATACCAACCTTACATGTTTTTATGTTGTTCATATGCATAGTGTGAGTACAATATTTTCCAACTGTACTCACTCCCACCTGCTCTTCACGGATGCAGGTTTGGAACTTTTTATATATTTGGTTCAAATTTGATAACTGTTAATATTGCATTTGTAGGTTCCATCTGATCTGTTTTATATGTTTGTTAAATTAAGTAGCGCCCGTTGAGTTTTAAACTTAAATGAGATTTGCGAAAAATTAACTCTGATTTTTATAAATAAATTTGGTAAATCCTTTAAAACAAAGTGGGGCGTTACATAGTCGCTTTATTATTTAAATATATATATTATGATATTTACATTAAACATTATAAGATTTAATTCTTAGGTTTTATTTTGATTTCATTCAAATATTATGATAATTTTTAGAATCAACCATTCAGTTTTATTATATGCAAGGATATATATAATATTTCTATAAAAAAATAATTTTTCATACCCAAATAGTTTTCGTAACGCTATTTATGATACGCAGTATAAAGACCAAAATGCGATACATTACGCTATACGCATTTTAAAACACTGGATGACACATAAAATTACAAAAGTTTGTGGTTGCCGCTCAAGTCGGGTGTGCCATAACTGCTCGGGCGGACCTTTGCCCGAGACCTGGGCATAGCAGCTGCTCAAGTTGGGTGTGCCATCCAACCTCATGGCGTAGTTGCCTAACTAGTTAGTCGTCTCCTCTCTCGACATTGTTAGCTGCTCGTCACTGCCCGGGCAGGTCATTGTCACTTTAATTCCTGCAAACATAGATTTTCTTTCTTAGTTTTGAAGTCTATATATTAGTTCTGTTTATTAAGATTTGTATTTATAACATTCTCTCAATATTATACCTATACAAATTTTGTATGAGGCAACTATTAGACGAGTTGTTGTGTCATACTATTTTAGCAATACATACTTTTGTTTAAATGGTTTTTAGAGTGACATTTCAATTTAAAAGTATGTATGTCTATTTATAAAATATGGTTGCATAATTTTTGCCTAACAACAGACTCGCTGTTATACCTAAAGCTTAATTAGTTCTAAGGTTATCTGGGATTATTAATTACAAAATGAACAGCTGCGTTTTAGACTATATTAAAGTTTCAAGTTTCTTTTACAAATTACTACTGTACGTAACTGTTTNACATTGTAATGAAATCTACCCCCATTAGGATATACATTCTTAAAATCAAATGAAACATAAAAATGTGACATGGAGCGATAAAAATTGAATCCTATGTTAATGAACTCAAGAAATACAAAATGCACGGGAAAAAAGACTTACCATTTAACAGATAATCGAAAAGGAAAACCTGGCCATCCTTGCATTGGGCACAAATCATAGTCCCTGTAAGCATGGCATACCCATGAGGACCGGTTAGTGGCTGCTGCAAGAACCGCAAAAGCTGTGAAGAGAATAAGCCTGTGTGAGCAACCCATGAGTTTCTAAATTGAAAAGCCTCTAAGCAGAAGAAAAAGGCCAGCAAAATGATGTCAACAATACACATAAAAACAAAAGTATTTTATCTTATCAAAACAATAACAACAAAAGAACAGAATAACAATGTGATGGAAAAACAGAACCACATACCAAATATGAAGAAAACCTTCTAGAAATGAAGTGAAAAGACGACAAGACAATGTGTGGGGCTATCGATCATCAGAACGCTTTTAGCCAAAGCCTTTTAAATGGCAAATAAAGCCTTTAACCTTGGGTTTGTCGATGTTAATCTAACAGACAAATCAAAGATGCACCAACAATTTAGGATTTCTAACTTAAAGCTCCTTTTAGTTCGAATGAATTTTATACCAGACCTTGGTGATTTTAATCCTAGCCCCCCCAAATCGCTCCTCCCCAGTAAATGTATCTACTTTACCAGCGGTTTCCCCTTCGCTCGCCGGCTTCCGAGGCCGCCGTTCCCCTGCCAATCGTCTCCGATCGGGGTCGAGGAAGGAGTTTTTTTTGTTGCGCCACCTATTGCCTCAGTGGGAGAGAGAACGCGGCGGCATCAGTGCGCTCAGATCAATTGGTGGCTGCTCCCTCTGGATGCTCGGGTTCGGTTTCTTGCGGTGTTGAGGTTCAAGTTGTGCCCCGTGTGCTCTCTTCCTCCCCGATCAGCGACTTCAGGATCTCAGATGTGGACTAAGGCTCGCCTTCGTGCCGGAGCTATCTAGCCCTTCGGTGGAGTTTTTAGTTTCGGAGCTTGTATTTGTAGATCTTTAGGTTCTGGTCGTGGGTTGGTTTGTTTTGGGTGTGGCTTGTGCACTTGGCCGTGGTTTAGGCACAGGTTGCCCGCATTGTGTAAGGGAGGTATTACTCTTTTTTAGCCAGGTGTGTGTTTACTTTTGTTTTTGTTTTTTCTTTGCCTTTTGGACTAGACTCTCCACTAATTGTACGGTGAGGCTCTCAGAGGTGTTCGGCGGTGGCGACCCTGGGTCTTGCGTTCCATTTTCGGGAGGATTGCCGGAAGGAGGAGCTTTTCTTCACTGGTGAAAGCGAAGCCGGTCCCTTGAGTAGGTTTTCGCCGTGGACTGCTGGTGCTAGGATGGGGATGTGGGTTGTTGTTTTCTCGGTGCTTTCCGTTGTGGCGTGCCTCCGATGGATCTTCCGTGTTTGGGTGGTGGTCCCGTATTTTCCCCTGTTCTGGGGGTATTCGGGATGGAGGGCCCGCCATTTTCCACCATGCTCTTCTTTTTCCAGGTGTTGGTTGGAGGGGTAGGCAGACGAGGCCAGACCGAGGTCCGAGATTCAGTGATCTGAGCTTGGTTGTTGGTGGTGATGATGGGTGGTTGTGGTGTGGGTTCCAGGCAAGAGATGGGGTGTCCGTCCAGATTTGGGTTGCGGTTGTTGGTGTGGAGCTTAGTTAGGCGTTCTTTTGCAGTTTTTGAGTCGAACTCCGGGACTGTAGCTCGATCAGTTTGGATGGAAACCCGTTCGCGTTGTTGTTGCGTAGCTTGGAGTAATTTGGCCGCTGTGGGGAGGACTTTACTTGTATTCTTTTAGTTCGTATTTTTTTTATCTCCCGTTGGGAGTGTGTTCGGTGTATTCTTGTGTTGGGAGCTTTTGGTTTTATTCTCCTCTTGTGAGTTTTTTAGTAGTGTTTTGTGTTGCAGTTTGACTCTAAGTTGCCGTCAGTGTGTACGTGTAGTCCTATCTACAAGGGTCAGCTGTTCAGCTTATTCTACAGTTTAGCTGTAAATTCGGCTGAATATTTGTTCTTTTGTCTCAATTTGTCGTGAATAAAAG